CTGTTGCTGATGGTTGTAGGTGCTCATGCTTGGTGTTGTTGCTGGTACTGGATGAATGGTAGTGATGTAGTTTCTGTTGCTGATGGTTGTAGGTGTTTGGTGGTGTTGCTGGTACTGGATGGATGGTACTGATGTAGTTTCTGTTGCTGATAGTTGTAGGTGCTTGGTGGTGTTGCTGGTACTGGATGGATGGTAGTGATGTAGTTTCTGTTGCTGATGGTGTTAGTCATCGTTTGTTGTCTCTGCTATTGGTGTTATTTTTTTCTGCTTCTGTTTATGATAAAACAGTTGCTGCTAATTTTGATGGTATTATTTTGTTGGTGACACTATTGATGGTTTTCAACCATTCCCAAGAGAATTACATAACAAAAGACACGGCGGCCATGTTGGAGGACATAAAAATAATTCACTGACAATTCTTTTGTAAAAGTCCTCCAACATGGCCGTCGTGAAAACCATCAATTCCTTGTTGTTGGTGACGTTATATTGCTGCTGCTATTTCCGTCCTTTAACAGGGTCTTAACCGGACCACTATTTTCATGGTCACGACCCTGATAGTGCATAAGGGCGTAAAAATCCATCCTTCTGTACCATCCCGTTGATAATAAGATTTAAAAATAACAAATTCAAAATTAGTTTTTTGAATCGATAAATACATAGTCATTCGTCCTATCTTCGAAGAAGCAGACATTGCTTATATATATATTTATAGTACACTCAACAAAATTACTCGACGCTGATTGGTCGAGAGGAGTACAATTATAGCGTTAATTGTACTCCGTAGGAGTACCGAATTAAGTCGCTATGGCAACACGGCCAAAACAATGTCAAAACAATTATTTTCTATCATTTTGTACTTAAAAAACATATAAATAAAATTTTAAAGCCGTAAGAACTAATCTTTTTTATGCATTTCAGTTGCGCGATGGACTGAAAATCGGCCGCCAAATAGACAAAGATGAACGGCGTCGCTTCGCATTTTTTACTGAAATTTTGTTGAGTGAACTATAAACAAAAAATCGCACGATCTTCTCGTACAATTTGGAATTAAGGCTCGTGCAATTACAAGAACTTTTAAAACATTACTCGTGTCTATTAATTTCCAAATTGTACTCTAGATCGTGCGATTTCCTATACATATATATACACATATACATATACATAACATATACATATACATATACATATACATATACATATACATATACATATACATATACATATATATATAAATACACATATATATATATTGCGATTTAGTCAAAATCCTATCCCGTGTATTTAGAAAAATAACTGCGGTTCAGATATAATCGGCCGGTAATTTTTATTATGATATCCTGAATTAGTCAACGCTCCGTAACAAAAAAAAAAAAAAAAAAAATGCGTTTCGTCGCTTTAATTAAAATTTTCCAGATTAATTAAAACTCTCCTGGTTGTCCAACTTGAACCATTTCTCAGGTCTGATCAGAAATTTTTTAATTTCCATAAGTTAATCAGTTTTACGAATCAACTTCTTATTATGATAACGTCGGGAGTACGCCAATGAGAAGCTCCGTTTTTGGAAAGATGTTCCCTTGCTATCGACAATGTGAATAATATTTGTTCAAAATGCCAGAGTGGAGAACAAACTTGTAATTAGTATTCAACTTTCTCTTGGTGTGTTTTCCTATTTTCACACTTGCCCCCATACAAGCGCTTGTCACGTATTGAGGTAAACTTGGTTAGTATTCGCTCGGGATTACAGGCATTGAAGCGGGAAAGATATTGCGGCGTTTTTATCAAAGTATTTTGAACGACAATGTACAAGTCTTGACTGAAGTACATCCCGAAGTCAACTCAGAAATCGCAAATGCGATATGACTACGCTTCTCATAGCTCTGGGCAACTTTTTCCGAGAAATAAGTCGTAAGTATACCAAATGCAGACAATATTGAACGATATTACTTCAGTGATTCGTATATCAATCTACACGTAGTAGAGAAAGTGTTACTCAATCGTTCAACCACCTTTTGGCTTCATGTTTCCCATGCTTTTCACAAAGAAAGGACTTCTAAATTCAATTCATCTTGATGCCGCTGTTAAGGTCTTGACCGGGTTGATTTTTTCCCAGTTTTCATCGCTTGCTCTTTTCATATTATTTTGTAATAACTCATCCGTTTAACATGTTGATAAATTTTTCAAAACGCTTCAAGGTTGTTACTCAATTTTATATTTAAGAAATATACGCGATTAGATTAATTCCTAAAAGGATGAACTTGTCGGGCTAAAAATGAAAAGGAATCACAGTTGAAAGTGGTATTTTATCAGGTGTTTAATATATGAATACATAAAACTTCACAAAAAAAAAAAACCCACTAAATTACAAATTCAAAATCGGATGTTTTCGATTAGTGTCATCATCAGGCCTAGGAATGCCCGGATTTATTCAAGATTCCTTGTTATAACATTTCAAAATAATGGAAAACCTTTGATTTTGAATTTGTAATTTTGGTTTTTTGAATAGAACAAACTATTAGCCTTTGTGTATTTTTATATTTTTCAAAAAAGCGAGTTGCACGTTGCGAGGTAGGTCAGGTGCTGTAAACAGTACAAGATAACAGATCTCCGTACAAACTAGAAGTCGTATTGTATACAAATGATATTCAAAACTTTATCAAATGTGAATATGTAAACTATTTGCCCCATGAAGCACTTTCGTATAACGTTGATCAAATAATATGCAGACTTTTAAAAGAGGGGAAAAAAGAAAGAAAGAAAAATGGCAGAAAACTAAACTGCACTTGCCGGCTCTAGAGACCGAGGATACTGATTGATTATTGGTCGTTTGAGCGCGTAATAGCTTATAGCGATCGACGTCCAAACAGCAATCTATATCTCAAAATAAATGAATATAAGTAAATCTTTCTGCATTTCTTGTTAATAAGACTTTAGATATTTTGAGTGGGCGTTCTTGCAGAGCAAGCTGAGAAGATTATAACAATCAACACGATAACGTCATCATTCATGGTTCTTCAGACAATAGAGCAGTTTTCCTATGACTGTGAAAAGCTCACCGCACGAACACGGTCATGACACGGCAAGGCATACGCCAGACCAATCACATTGCACGAGAATTTACTATTCATCCAATCAAATGTCCGATACAGAGCTCTGAATACGGCGCGCACACGGTCACGCCAATGTCACGACACTGTCAGACCAATCACATTGCACGAAAAAAAAATCAGCCAATCAAAAGTCTAGAAAACATCACGGTCGCAACAAGGCACGCATACGGCAGCGACGTTTTCACAGTCACACGAAAACTGCTCTAGCACTAGCAAACCAATCACCGTTGCAGCAGTTTTTCCAGTGAAATTATAATCTTGTCCCATGAACGACTCCAATAATATGAGGATTACACTTTTAATTTCTGACGTGAGATATTATAGCTGATTTATTGAGCTTGTAGGCCATAGCAACGGTAACTAAGAGGAGCGAAACCTTGAATTACTGCCAAGCGAACGCGCCAGCAATAAATTGACCATTTATTGAACCCTTAGGTGAGAAATACGAAAAATACTGCTTGCTGAGGTGCATGCCAAAATATAACTCGTGGTTTATATACAACTGTATTATTGATGATGATGATGACGTCATTGAATTTTATTGAACGAACGCCAATTCAAACGTGGCTAACGTTAAACGACTAATAAGAAAGAAGATATAATTATATTTACCGTACAAAACTAAGACTAACTAACAGCACTAGCCACTGCACCAAAACACCATCTAGCTATGATGCAACAAAAGTTAACAAACCCCCAATGTTCGACGAAAAACATGCATTACATTTCTTCAAATTTTATCGGACACTGGTACGACTTCTAGGCCGATCAATGTCAGGGCATGGCTAACTCACAGATCAAACCCTGAAACAACCTCTAGGCTGATGTAAGTAAGGGCAAGGCTAACTCACAGATTAAACACTGAAACAACCTCTGGGCTGATCTACTCTCAGTACACGTCTAGCTCACAGATGGAATTGGAACTTAAAAACTGGGGAGCTGGGGAGACTATATCAGGGCTGAATACGCCACTCCCATAATGGCTGACAAGTGCACGAAAACGAGGTCACCCAGTCATTAGTTTACAACAAAAGATATAAAAGCAGATGAAATGCGTTCATAGAAGAAAAGTATAGAAATTGACCTTTTGTTTTGACCTGGATTCGTGCTATCCACCTTTATTCTGAATGAGCAGCCTTGCCCAGCCTTGCAAGATGACTGGGTGACCTCGTTTTCGTGCGCTCGTCAGCCATTATGAGAACGGTGTATAAGAACCCTTCAATCAAGAGAGACCCAATAACTGCTTGTATACGATACCCATCAGAACCAATGTTTATGCTAAAGTAGAGCATATAAGGGAGACTGTATCGGTTGTAACCGAACCCTAAACGAAATCAGATCAGAATCGAGGAGGAAAAATTTGGATCCGAATTATGAATAAATGTACGCCAAAGATCAGTTTCATTTCCTTTCGTTGTTTTTTATAAACATCAGAGGAAATTTGCGTAACAAAGAGAGAGGAACTTAGTGAAGATCCGGTGGCGCGGCGGTTTCAAGGGGTAAAATAAAAACTGATATTTGCCTGTTTTGCCTCGTGGAAAAAATGGGATTGAGGTCACTGGGGATGGGAAGAAAGCAACAAAATGGGATAGGGAAATGTTTTTGAAGTAAAAAAATTGGAGTTTGGACTCTGGAGAGTGGAATTTGTAAATCAGGGTTCGATGTGTGAGTTAGCCATGCCCTGACTTAGATCAGCCCAGAGGTTGTTTCAGGGTTTGATCTGTGAGTTAGCTGTGCCCTGACTTATAGATCAGCCCAGGGGTTGTTTCAGGGTTCGATCTGTAAGTTAGCTGTGCCCTGACTTAGATCAGCCCAGAGGTTGTTTCAGGGTTCAGATGTGTGAGGTAGCCATGCCCTGACTTGTGCTTGAGAGAGCGCTTCCATTTAAAAAAAGGAAAATGATAAATCCATATTTTGATTAACCTTAAACAGTTACCAAGATTAATGATTTTAATCATGAAGGATTTTTAAAATGCAAAAATAGAAAACTATGATCTAGAGTTCCTTTTTCCGTACAGTATAAGATGACGAGTTTAACTGAAGTAAGTTCCGGCCGTTACTCGAGAACTGTCTCCTTTCCAATCGGCAAACTTATCATTACGGGAACACGAAACGTCTCCGTCACGGTTTTCATGCCAGTTTTTCTTTGATTCGCTAAATAAACCTGACATCGAAAAGCCAACAAGTCTACAAGATTTTCAGGATATGACATTAAATGATTACAGGAAGTTTGTCTATGTTTTCTCAGCGGTCTATGAAGTGGCAAGCTAACCTAAAGCAAGGAAAGAAGTTCACCTGATACAATCATTATTTATAAGTGTTCCTTATAAACTTGGGGCCCATTTTCGCATCTTGTTTTAATCTATCTCATATATTGTACTATTCAAATGATATCATCAAACATGTCAAAGAAAAACACCGAGCTAGCGATATAAAAATATCATTGATTATCACCGATAAGTTATGTCTGTAGATATTGTAAAATAGCCTGCCTGCAGTACTAATATACGTACTCTCTGTCAGAGTGCTATTCGTACGGCGCTGTGTCGGCACAGGCAACGTGCAGTGATAAATGGTAAACTGCCGTTCTTTTTTCTTAGATCCTCAGCCGTGATTTCAAAAAGATAGCAGTCTTAAGCTTTTTCTATATACGCTTTGAAAGACGGGCTAGAGTTCCTAGATATTCCATATTTATTATATATATATA